AAAAAAAAAAAAAAAAAAATAACAATGGTATATAGTATAGTATATATAGCATCATTTAGTTGTTTTTGTTTTTTCTTTTTTCACCTTCTTGAGGTATACATCCATGTGCTCACAAGCATACACTTGTACTAACATGAACTACTAGCAGCAGTCCCAGTGCTGGGAACCAAACACATGGACTTCCAGCCGATGATCACTGTCGTTTTGATGTTGACCAGCTAACAAAGCAGTGTTAGAGCCTATACCAGGGGTAGCCAAACTCAGGCCCTCCAGCTTTGGTGAAACTACAAATCCCATGATGCATCTCTCTCCGGGAGTCGTGGCTGTGAGGATCTTGCAATGCCTCGTGGGATTTGTAGTTTCACCACAGCTGGAGGGCCGGGGTTTGGCTACCCCTGGTCTATACTTTGTCACTGGCTTGTTCTTTCTATGCAGTGCAGTGAGCGATGGGTTGCTACACTGTGCCCATGCACTTTCTAGCCATTTTTAAAAAGCCTAAAATGTATTTCGACATCCACAGTGTAAAGCATCTTTTCTAGGCCAGTAACCAGTCACTGTACCTTTTTAAAGAGGAACTACCCCTTCTTAACCTTCACAGCCAAGGGAGGTGCCTACTCCGGCTCTATTTGAATTGCAGTTGCCACAGTGCTGCACATGTGATCATCTAGAACAACAGCCATTTGAGGACTTGAACGTTTGGTTGAGAGCTGAAATGAGCACACTGGCAACCTTGACAGTTCGGCATGCCTTGAAAGTAACTCTTTTGGAGACAAAATTGATTCCACTTTTATTATATACAAATACCTTCTTAAGCAGGAAGTCTGTTCTTAAGTCCACTTACCTTTTGTGAGTTACTTACTGGGGGGTTACACTGGATTTTCAGTGCGATGGGAAGTGGAAGACATTAGTGGAGGGGTAAAAAGAACAATATATGTTGACCAGTATATAGAGCGATTGGTGTGATTTCTAGCCCTGTTTGTGCAGCTAGAAGATGGCTTCATCTTTTAGACCAACATTAGGTGTCTGCATTCATCTATGAGACTCATTTTTCAGTATGGCCAGAACTCTCCACAATTCTACTAATCTAGTTTTGGGTGAATATGGAAGTTGGCTCTGGATATGATAACAATTACCTTTTTGTCCTGCTTTATAGACTCCTAAGATTTGCCTAGAAATAGCTGGAGGAACAGTGTAATGTTGATGCTTTACGTTGAGAAGGTAGCATCATTTTTCCCTCTGCCTTCCTCCATTATTCCCTGCCTTTAGATAGTTTTGGGTGGGGATCTTCATCACAAAGTGAATTGTCATAAAAATGCATGCTTGTTAACCCAGTAATAGGGTGTTCATTATTTATGGTGTTTGTATTACATGTATCCTTTGTTGTAAACACCCAGATTATATTTGTACTATCTGAACTCATAAGTGCCACTCTGCTATTGCACAATGATACATGCCTTCTCTTCACTCATGACTGGTGTGTGTGAGCCTTTGGGTGATGCATGATTAATAGCATCAGCACTGTTGTGCCACTCATACAGAGATGTATTATGTGATGTGTAAAGTACCACTAATTTAATTAAATGGCTGGTGTGACTGATGGATAAATTACTTGATGGATAAATTACTTGTCATTTGTCAGTGATTATTCCAAGTGTGTGACTCTTATTATCTTTCATCTTTCTAGGTCTTATGCAATGGTCCAGGGACATGTATTCCCGTGTGCTTCTCTGCTCTTCTGCTGGGGATCTTTGGAATAAAGAAGGTCATCCTAGTCTATGTGGAAAGTCTCTGTCGAGTAGATTCCCTCTCCTTATCTGGGAAACTTTTGTATTACTTTGCTGACTATTTCATTGTCCAGTGGCCTCTTCTGCAGGACAAGTACCCCAAATCCATATATCTGGGAAGAATCGTGTAATAGAAAACATGAATGTGCTGTGCACGTGACACCACTGTATACTCTGCAGTCATTTTTATTTAAAGGGCACCTCCTCTTTTCTCAAACTGCTGGATGACGGCGAGGACTGACCTGACTATGTAACTATTCCATTAGCTTCTGGATTAAAGTTCCATGTTGTGCAGTGTTGTCTGCCTGGTTGGTGGCTCTATAGACCATTATAGTTCTATGGGGAACACAGGTCAGAGGAATACTACTGTAGTGTTACATTCAGGTTACTATGCGCAAGTTATTTACACTACTGAATGTTAACATTTTTGTGTTCATATCAAGTTGAACTTTCTGCATTGTAAATAAAATGCTAATGAGGTTTTTTTTCACCCAGCGGAGATTTCATATTCTGTATTCTAGATTGCAAACATTTGCATGACCCTACATTTTTTTAATCAATGTGAATATAATATAGGCTTAATCTAAATATACAAAAAAAGGTTTTTCTTTTAGGTGCCCTTAGATATTGGATGGTGGCGGATGAAGTTGCTGGAAGATCTTTTCATTTTCATCGGACACCCATGCAGACATGGACATCAATAATTGTTTAGTGCAGCTATGCTGTAAAACAGTGGTTCTCAACCTGTGTAACCTCAGGACCCACACTTTTGTGCTTGGTCATTAAGCTGCAACCCAATTCGCACTGCAATGGAATGCACAGAATTAGGGTACCGCTCGTTCCAGTGCGGGCATATACGAGCTGTGTGTGGGAGGTGTGCTTGGGGTACCATTCAAATGAACAACAACCCAACACACTCCCTCACCAGAACGCACGGTAGGTGCAATTGCATGGTACAGTGTGTTAATCGCATTGGGACTGTGGTATTAACACAGTGTACTAGTGTGAACGGGCCTTCAAAAACACTGACATACATACGCAATCACAAACCTTACACACTCATAATCATTCTTACACATCCACATCCACACTCCCGAAAATATTTAATTTCATTTTTTATTTTGTTTAAGATCCACCCAGTCTCCCAACCTTACGAGAACTGGAGTTGGTCCTCAGCCTGGGGTCCATTGTGGGCTGCTGTGCTGCGATGGAGCTCCATCCATATGTGCATTGATGTACATCTCCCTTGTGCACCCTGTAAAGGTGCGGGGGAGCCAGAATGTGATGTCACTCCAGTCCAGGGACCTCTATAGGGCATATGAGGGAGCTGTAAGCAATGCACGTATGGCTGGAGCTCCCCCGCGGCCATAGCCCCATCCCACCTCAAGCTGACATTCAGCACCGGGCAGCATATTTTGAATGGCTGCTTGGCGTGAGAACTGACAGTGCTGCGCTAGGGAGAGGCAGAGGAGCCTCTCGCCAAGAAAAGTGGAAGGCATGCGGTGACCCACTGAACAAAGTGGAAGGCATGCGACGACCCACCAGTTGAGAACCAAGGCTGTAAAACATGCTAGCTGTCCCTGTGATGGACAACAAGCAATCGGCTGAATCTAACAAACTCCACCTACTTGTATATCATTCAGTGTCTGTGTGCCAATCGTATCCAAGTTCATTTGTATCTCACATCACTTTAATTCCAAATTCTACAAAATATACATATGGAACAGAGGAAGCAAATGTCTGTTGGTATTAGAGTTCCCTTATTAAAGTGACACTCAGGATTTAAATCTTAAAAATACATTCAAATACCTAAACTATTAACATAAATGTACTTTTATTTGTGTATCACTCAGCTGTAGATTCTCAAATCTTCTCTGAATTGGTGCTGACACTGTCCTTCATTCTGGAGGGTGGCTACTTTTGTTCTCCATGGTCCCTGTGTGTTGTAAAGTAGCCACCACTCCAAGGCCACTCTCGTAATGGACTACAATCTCAATACAAATTAGTGAACTAAACGTTGTAGTCCATCACCGGAGCGATCTTGGATCGGTGGCTACCTTACAACACACACGCACAGAGACCATGAGGAACAAAAGTAGATGATTTGAGTATCTGCAGCCAAGTAATGCGCAGATAAGATACATTTTTGTTAAAGTGACATTAAACCCTCAGATTTTTTAACATAAACCAATACTGTAATGTGTGCCTTACTGTAATCCATGGTTGTTTCCCTTCTCTTTGCTGCTCTTCCTTTTAAATCTGTATCTGTTCTCATGCTGGGCAGAACTTCTGTTTTGCAGCAGACTGCCTTGTCTCTGAAAGGGATACATGGTGTCTGTGTGTAGGTTTGCAACCTGAGCCAGCACTACAGGAAGAGGCAACCAGTTGCAAAGGGAAGTTCTAAGACATGAGGATTTAAAAGGAAGAGCAGCAAAGAGAAGGGAAACAACCATGGATTACAGTAAGGCACACATTACAGTATTGGTTTATGTTAAAAAATCTGAGGTTTTAATGTCACTTTAATGGTTAAAATACTTAAATGCACTTTTAAGGTTTAACGCCTGAGTTTAGTATCACTTTAAACTTACAAATTAGATGAGTTATTCTCAACACGGGTGCTGTGGATCTCTCGGGGGTCCTCCAGAAGTTCTTCGAGTAATGAGCAGTAGCTGATTGACCTCACACCTTAAGCTGGACATACACCTATAGATTTTCTAGGATCAGATGGAAAAAGGTGCAACAGATTCCTCCATCTCCACCATGGCCAGCTTCAGGGTGCCGTGGATACATCCTACTTATCACACAATTTTTGTCAGGGGTTTCCCTTAAACTTGAAAATTATTTTAAGGGTTTATCTGGGGTTAAAAGTTTAAGGAGGGCTGATTTAGATATTGAGTATGCAGTGCCTGATTATGCCTTTTCAGGGTTTAGGTACCCAATCACATCCTATCCAATTGCTTTCCCCACTAAGGAAGACTGCAGCACACACACAAATGAACTCTTGGAGTGGGGTGAAAGCATTTACTGCCCATCTACGTCAGGGTGATCAGTTGTGGTGCTCTTTAATGCATGTAGCGTCAAGGAAGCCTATTCATCACAACGGATTAAAAATCTTACCTACTGCATTTTATGTAATGAAGTGCACCCCATGTGTGTTGGGGGTACCACTCAATTTGAACAGCAGTACTCCAACTGACATAACCTGTGTTACAGCAAAGAAACGGTATAGTGTGAACGGGCCCTAAATATCCTGGTCCTTTTACAAACAACGCCCTTCGTGTAACCTCCATAGCCACTTTTAGGCAGAACAAACCTTCGTAGGCGTTGCTGTACCTGTCTATTTTGACTCTGAAGTTGGTCCCAGAGACCCAGCCATTTGGTAATTCTACCCTTCAATGAAATCCCTCCAAACTGAGGAAAATAACTGTTGTCGCCAGAACTAGTGTCACTGTTGGAAGATTTCCCCTCTGTTGCTGTTCAGTAACAACTCAAAATGTGGGATTTTCTTTCAGTCTTCGTGATATCAGGTGCCAGGCCAAATAGAGAGGGTAAATGTTCCTAACAAGGGCACAGACAGCAATAAAAACCTGGCAGGTTTTCTTATCTTTCTCCACATTTTCAAAAACTAAAAAGGTTTCGGCTTTGGTTCAGTTGATTAAGATTTTTCAGAATAAGGATTTTTTCAATCGGGTACCATAATTTTTTAGGATTTTAGGTCACCATGGGACCTTATGGAACACCCTGGAGCTCCCTTTTGGTTGTGGGAGCTTAGGCATGACATTGCTTTCATATTACAATGCAGGGGTCAGGGCCTCTATAACCTATCGGGGGGGGGAGAGGCTAGTTTCTATGGGAATCACAGAGGACCTTTTATTTGTTTTGCACTGGTTGTGATCTCAACCCCTATGTCCACAATGGCAGACACCCTAACTGTATTGCAGTCTTATCCCTTATTTCTGTGCCCCCGATGGCAGGCATCCTAATTGTAGACATAGTATTGCACTTTCATGCACCTTATTAGGAGGAGTTGGCTACCTCCAGGTACACCTGCATGCAATTTATCGACTGCATTAATATGCTCACACTTGGAGACTAGTATACATAGAGTTAGGACCACACCTTGCAGAGGTGCCTTGGCACGGCGGTGTGGCTTCTACATATTTTTGGCCAAAAGTTTGTACAACTAAAACCTCTGATTTTAACGCATACTGTTGACAGGGCAATTTGTTTGGTTGCAGGCTGGCTGGCAGGGGGAGCTGGGGGTTTTTTGTGTTTTGTATTTTTGCAATTTCATCCCTTATTTCTGTGCCCCCGATGGCAGGCATCCTAATTGTAGACCTAGTATTGCAAACTCTGCCCTTGTTTCTGTCCCTCTGATGGCAGACATCCTAACTGTAGACATGGTATTGCAAACTCTGCCCTGATTTCTGTGCTCCTGATGGCAGGCAGCCTAACTGTAGACATGGGATTGCAAACCTTGCCCTGATTTATGTGCTCCCGACGTCAGGCATCCTAACTGTAGACATAGTATTGCAAACTCTGTCCTTATTTCTATGCTCCCGATGGCAGGCAACCTAACTCTAGACATGGTATTGCAAACTCTGCCCTGATTTCTGTGCTCCTGATGGCAGGCAGCCTAACTGTAGACATGGGATTGCAAACTCTGCCCTGATTTCTGTGCTCCTGATGGCAGGCAGCCTAACTGTAGACATGGGATTGCAAACTCTGCCCTGATTTCTGTGCTCCTGATGGCAGGCAGCCTAACTGTAGACATGGGATTGCAAACTCTGCCCTGATTTCTGTGCTCCTGATGGCAGGCAGCCTAACTGTAGACATGGGATTGCAAACTCTGCCCTGATTTCTGTGCTCCTGATGGCAGGCAGCCTAACTGTAGACATGGGATTGCAAACTCTGCCCTGATTTCTGTGCTCCTGATGGCAGGCAGCCTAACTGTAGACATGGGATTGCAAACTCTGCCCTGATTTCTGTGCTCCTGATGGCAGGCAGCCTAACTGTAGACATGGGATTGCAAACTCTGCCCTGATTTCTGTGCTCCTGATGGCAGGCAGCCTAACTGTAGACATGGGATTGCAAACTCTGCCCTGATTTCTGTGCTCCTGATGGCAGGCAGCCTAACTGTAGACATGGGATTGCAAACTCTGCCCTGATTTCTGTGCTCCTGATG